AGGAAGTGACAGGTTTTGTTATGAACTCTCCCTCCTACATATTCTAGTGTAATTTAGAGGCTTAGCACAGCATGCACTGCAAACCTGAAGGGCGTTGTCTGCATACTGATATCCTGCTCACAGGACCGGAGGAAACAAGGGCATTAAAGGCTCTTCTAAAGAAATGTCTTCAAAAGACAAATGCACTGAAGGAGTGAGGCTGAGTCAAACAGATGCAAACTCACTAATTTTAAAGCAGCATCTGAGGGAAACCTTACGTTTGCTATCCATTACCCCAGGTTGCAGTTAGAGCTAATATGAGAATACGATAAAGTCATTAATCCAAAGATAATGAAACCATCAATGCAGAATTTTGTTTCCGTTTCTTAATGCAAAAACTATTTGTACATTTCTGGCCATGTCTAGAACTATATTTTTGTGCTTAACTAAATTATCCCCAATGGTTTGTTAGAAACCAACACCTGGGGCAAGTTTCCTTGTGTGCATGTGTATTCATGTTGCATTTGTACGTGCAGGTGCATCTGAATATATAAAAATATCATTAGAAAGTTTACTTATATAGGTTTGGAACAAAATGTGAAGACTGCATTATGGAATTTTCTAACAATGATACATTTAAGGTGCTTATTTCTCTTAATTTCAATGATTACTCGCATAAAGAAAACCCCCCAAAAAATCTGTTGTCCAGAAAAATTTGCAAATTACTGTAAATGAGATCAATTTCTAATACAGAACGTCCTCCTTTGAAAAATGGGTACTGAATGTTAGTGATCATAAAGCTCATATCCCAAAGTCCAGTCTCTGACTGGCTTTTAAATTATTTAAATTCAAAGAGGCCAGATAGAGATTTAAAGAGGAACAGCAAAAGCAAATGAGGTGGATTAGCAGTGCTTGCCATCCAGAACATGTTACTTTGGAAAAAACTGCCAGTTTTATTCAGCAATTCCTTTTTTTTTTTTATTGTGTATGCCATGATGTATCATTTCTATATTAAGAGTTCTGTTGCATTGAGCTGTTTGGATTAGATGTGATGCAAAGTTTTAACTTTTAGAGAAATAAAATTTGGGAGTTTTATTTGCCAAAAGCCAAAGCCATCACAATTAGCAGAAAGAAATGTCTAAACCATGTCCTTTTGTGTCTATATGTTATCAGTTTTCAATTTTTGAATTATTGACATCGATTCATTTTTCAATGATTTATTGAGCTGTGCCAGCACTTTATCATATGCAGTATTTCTGTTATTTTAGCTGTTAGTATCCCTCATGGTTTGGTCCATGTATAGAAACAATATGTCAGCATCTGTAAAGGGAGTTTAAATAGCATTGAAACTCAACGGAGAACTGGGTCACTGCTCCTCTTTTGCACCAAAGACCATTTTCTCTTATTATGCTAATTTCCAGCAGGTGCTGAGGTAATTTTTGGAATCAGAATTTGCCTTTTGTCACAGGTCACAGGGTAGATATGCAAATTAAAGGCTACAGACAGAATATGACAAAGACAGATCATTTGACCAAAAGTAAGAGGACCAACATTTGAAAGAAAACAAACTGACACAGGAGATAGTGTGAGGTAACTCTCATCAGCATAATAAATGATGATTCCAGCACACCTGACATTGCACACCACAGGAACTCAAAGGCAGAGGGGAGAATTGGAAGAATGGGCTGCTCAATTTAGAGCAAGCAGCTGTTGTGCATTTCGCCTCACTACACATCTGCCAAGTCACTGTGGGGGAGAAGTGAGGTGACCCAAACTGCACCGGTCTCTGTTTCTACCTTAGATCAAAAATAAATTCTGCCTTTTTTAACCTTCCCTCAGTGGGATTCATTCAGAGATACCAGAACGCACACAATCAAGAAACAGACTTAGAACATTTCTAACCATGGTCAGATTTGAATCTCGACTTTCTCCAAACTGAGGTTGAGTAACACAGATTAAAATACTGACTATGTCTATAAGGTGCAACCCCCCATTTTGTTTGTACTGTGTGATTATCCAGATTAGCTCACCAAAGGTAAAACGTTTTTAGCGAGCACCATTTTCTCAGCTGCCTTGTGTTTGATTCATTTTTGTAATTTTTTTTTTGTACAAATTTCTCAATTATTTTGGTCTTGAGGGTAGAATAGCACTAAAAAGGGAAGGCAGTAAAAACAATGACATGCCTTTTAAACATTAAATGTCATCTTGAAGAATAGATGACTGATGAAAATCCACAGGATTTGGATTAAAGTCGCAGACTGCTTAAATTTAACAGGTTAAATATAACATTTTTGTTGTATAACTTGATGAAATTAAATGTTTAAAGTGTTTTCCGTTGATCAGGATGGTGTGCAGCACTTGGGTTTGTGGACATTTCTCGCGATCCAAGTTTCTAGAATAAGTGTGGCAATATTCTGTTTTAGTCAACAAAGATTTGCTTTGAGGTAAAAATCAAATCTTGACAGATAGCTATTTCAAGAAACATCACAGCAGAGACTGTGATGTTTTAGAGATGATGAAAACTAAGAGTGTCGCTGAGTTCATTCACACTCCTAACCTTTGGGTGTAACCTGTAATTACTTCCGCTGAGGCTTTGGGGATGTTGGCAGATTAAAAACAAACTGGCCCAAGGGCGGCTGGCTGGCTGGCTTCGCAGTGAGGCGGCCGGTAAACCTCTGCTGAGGCTCACACTTCCTGTCTGACAGGAATGCCAATGCATCTCTGAAGGTGACATCTGTTTACGCAAGCTTTCCAGTTTTCTGGAAAGATCCTTCAACTTTCAGCAGTGTGGCCCACTGATGGAAGTACTCTCTTTGTACGTAAATATAAGTATTTTTTTTTTTTTACACCTGCCTACATTGATTGGAGTTAAGACTAAATGCCTTTCTTTTCAAAAATGGTGACAGTAATTCCAATCACAGACGCATTGATCAAATCGTTTTTTGTTTTTTTTTGAAAAGTTGATATTTCAAAGCTTATTTTCCGTCAAATACATTTCCAGGAATTATATCATAAAGCTAACTTACAAAAACATTAATAATAGGTCAGAATAATGTGGACAAAATGTTTTTTGCTCTCACTGGCTTCTTGTTTTACTCTGCCACTAATCGTAGCAATTACTCAGTTCTTAAGTTGTACAGTTGATCCAACACGCACCAGTAAACATTGGTGACATGTATTTTACTGATTTAGTTCATTTTACTAAACTAAATTACAGTAAAAGACAGCAATCAATGCTAAACAGAAACGGGACACAATTGTTGTTTTCCTAAAGACTAGTGCGCTCCCTAGTGGTAAAAAAGAATCATGGAATTAAAAAAAAAAAAGTATTTCAGAAGATGAAAACAAAGCAAAAAATTTAATATTTTTTATTTGCAAAATACCTTATTTTAGACTACCAGTAGTTTTTGCAGCAGTACTCAAATGAGCAGATTTAAAATTTTTAACATGACTTGCCATGAGTTTGGATAAAATAAAATGCAGATGGAGCCTTACTTTTTTATGATCCAAGACACAAACAACAGAAAGATGAACAAATGCAGACAGTTTCCAGCAGGAGTGAAGGATGACTCAAACTGGTTTGCAGAGTGAGTAATAGCAGCCGAGTCCTCCTGCCAGGGTTTAATGAGGCGCTTGCTTTGGTGTCTCCAGCACTAAAGTTTATAGATCGTGTATTTCAGCTGCAACTGTTCCAACTACCCCCGCTTGTCGCATTGATTTGTATCATTAATAAGAACATAAAAATAGGAGGAGGATTAAAGTTTGATTTAAACAGTTTCCCTCCATTGGATGGAAAAACGGAACGTTTTAGATGACTTGATATTAATCAATGGTGTGATGCTTGAGTGTAAAATAACAGATTTTTTTCTTCAGACCACCCTTTGAGACTGAGCTACCTGGAGTAATCTGGAGTGAGTAAACACATCTGGTGAAAAGGACAGACATCGCTTGATGTCCTCCATACAATATGAAAGACAATATTTCAAGTGTGCCACAATTTGTGTCCAGTGGCCAAAAACAGAAGTGACCAATTTAGGATAAAGATAAATTTGATCAAAACCTCATCAGAGCTACAGAGGAGCAGCTAAGTTAAGACAGGTTTAACTAATCCTGCTGAAGAAATCTGGCTGCTTTCATAACTCAGTGAGGTTGATCACACAATAACTGATTAAGAAAAACTTACCTTATGTGAAAACAGAATGAGAATTTTAAATTCATAAAAACTGAAAAAAAAGTTGCAAGTAAAAATATATAGAAAAAAATGCTTGAATAAACAACAATAACTTAAAGCAGCTGCTTAAAAAAAAAATCAGTCACAAAAATGGACAACTAATTTGAGTCACATAAATGAGAACTATTTATGAATTTATAGAAATAATACAGTTGACATTTCATCCAAAAAGTGGATGTAATGCATGTGATAAAAGAATAAAATATGGCCCCATTAGAGAGGGGTGGTCAGCAGGGTTCGAATGGATTTCTTCCCATTTAAAGCCTTACATGGCTAAGGACTTCACATCTTTTGCTTATTAGTATTATAGCTCAGAAGTAAATATTAATGAGATTTTTTAAATGATTGTTTTCAGCTCTAGCGGCCTTTTATAGTGAAACAGCAGGAAGGTGGGATGCGAGAGAGGGGGAAGGTTCAGCGGGGCAGGACTTGAACCTGTGATGGCCAGTTCAACCTTTGTTCACTGGTTGCTCATTTACCATAAGGAGACACCTTAAGTTCCTTGTCATGACAAATAGAGTTGGAGAATATGTTTCATTCTTTGTAGCGTTTTCACAGCTTGTCTTTCTGTACCATTTATTTCTTTGGAGCAATTGCATTTTTAAAATCCACCACTTGAGGGCAGCATTCACTCCACAAAAGTCAAGGGCACAGAATTAGCAGTCATTGCACACAGTATAGAGAGTATAAGTACGGAAGGATAAATTCTCAGAACAAAAGTTAGCATGTCATAATTCAAATCATAAACTTTCAACAAACAAGACACTGTAGAAGAAACAACAATGAACAATCATTTTACTGTAATTGTGGTCTTTATTTCACATGTTACAACCGCATAGAGTTGGAGTCGAAGTCAGAGAAAAAAGAACAAGTGTTGAAGCTTAAAGTGAAACTGAGCCCATCAAACAAAGAAAGCAAGATAATAAACCCTGAAACACTTAAAGCTGTTGGCACATTGTTTGAAAAGAGAACAATTTTGTGAATTGACTAAAGATATTATCAAAGTACCAGGTGTGCGTTACATTTGTTGGAAGCATAAAACACAAACCTCAAGCTAGCTAGAAAAAAGGACTGATAATAGAAATCAATATTTTTCTTGTTATTAAAAAGCTAAACATCCAAGTGAGGCAACGAGAACTCATTATGAACTCAGCAGTGCACTGCAGGATTATTACATCAGTGCTTTGTAACATCATGACTTAGAAAAAAGAAAAATATAAAAACAATCGGGTACATCCAAACTGTGACCTCAAAATTACAGTCAGTGTGGGAAAGTACAATTTTTAAAAAAGCAACAAAAACTACCATATGGTGCTGCTACTGAAGGAATGCGTTCATGATCAGCTGTCATCTCTTAACAATTCCCAAATTAATTTTAAAAAAGCAAAGGAACTCAGTATGCAGTGTTGCAAAGTGAACTGCAGCAAAGATTAATTATAATTCACCCCATAAAGGGACAAATTAGATCTACGGACGTTGAGATATCACTATAAGAGGTTGTTTTTCTTTCAGACCGCAGCCTGGTCTAATGTACTGCCTCTTTGTAACATAAATCAATACAATGTGTAATCAATATCCTTAGAAACAATGTTAATACTTCTAAAAAATGTTATAAGATTTTTTTTATTTCTTCCAAAAAAATATATCCATAAGGTGACAGTGTGTTTATCATCTTTCTTTACTCCAGTTGGTGTTGTAATGAAAGGAAACATACTGTTTTTACTTCCTGAAGTCAAGGACAAAAGACTCAAGAGCCAAATTTGTTCTGTCCCAAATTTGGTTCAAAATTTTGCAAGGAAGATTCAACCTTTAGAAATATAGGTGCAAAAAAAATTTATATTTGATTTAATAGACACACTTTTCAAAAGGAAAACACATAACAGACCACTGATTCATGAATCAGCTGTTAAAACCCAGCAGTGTGCATAAATAACTCCTAACAATCAGAAACAATGTATTACTTGTCGGGGAGAAATTGATGATAGCTTCTAGTCTAACTTTAGCCCACACATTATTACCTCAAAAACACAAAGTGTAGTCAGGGCCTGTTACCATTAACTGATGCCATTAAAGTGACATTTTTGGCAAATGGAAGCATTAAACATTCTGCTCAAACTTGTCCCTTCCCCTCCGGTCTTCAGGGTCTTTTAAAAGAACTCACACCCCTTACACTTTTCCACACCAACACACTGTCGCATCACAAACACAAAATGTCATTTATGGTAATGGGACCAACACAGAGTAGTATATAACTATAAGGTGGATGGCGAATGATACAAGTTGAATGTTTTTCTTAGCAAATGAGCAATTTTAAAGTGTTGTGCGTCTCTATTCAACCCACTTTCGTAATGCAACTATATTCTGTATATTTCAGTGCAATCAATTGCTGTCAGAAAGCACCTAATTGGTTAATGTGTTAGTTATCCTCCGTTGCTTTGCAAAAGCATCATAGAAATTAACATGATGAACAAAGATCATTATGAAGACGAACAATAACAATAGACAGAGGAGGTACAAAATATAATGTTAGTTTTTTTAAAACACTATCCTGAACTTTGAACATCTCATAAATGACTGTTCAATTGGAATCTGCTGACAATAGACAGAACAGGTATATAAGAACATAAAGTTAGTTTTTTAAAGACCATTCTGAACTTTGAACGTCTTATGAAGGACTGTTCAAGTGGGATCTGCAGACAAGACAACTATTAGTCGGCCATGAATCTGGCCTTTAAGGACGAGTGACAAGCAGAAGGTCATAAGAGGATCAAACAATACAGGAAAAACATGGAGGAAAAAACACGCATGCAGAACAGCAGTGAAATGGATGGGTGTTAGAACGGTCTGGTGAAAGTCCAGGTTTAAATCCAAAACAGACATCAAACCCCATCCTCTACTTAAAAATGATGCACTACTTTGTGTTGGTTATCATAAGACTCTCATAAATTAGACAAAAGTTTGTGATTTTGATGTGACAGAACATGAAGCAAACTGCTCAAGAGGTACAAGTACTTTTGCAAGTCACTCCATGTGCTGCAACTCCGTTAATAGAAATTAACTACACCATAGTATGATAACCCAAAATAGTAAAATGTTAACATTGGTAAAAATGATTAATTATATTTAAAAAATGTAAAAAGGATTAATGCTGGAATCCCTCTCCCGTGCAACGACTGGTCTGTGCTCACACCTCCAGTGCAGGTGGTTTTGGCAGTGGTCCTAACATTTGTGCTTCATGGCAAGCTGCAGAAAAATTGGGGGGATTAAAGAATATTGGTGAAGAAATTCAAGAAAAGGATGCCAGTGTATTAAATCCTACCATTAAAGTTACAGACTCCTCAATAAAGCACACATCGAATCACAGCAGGGGGAATCAGGCTGCATCGTTTAAGTTATTTCATAAAAATGAAAGCTGCCAGGTAAACTACTCAGGCTTGTTATTTTCAAATTACACCTTCTGGAAGTTCATCTGTCTTATTAATAGCAGTTGTAATTGGCTTTGTGGGAGTCTCATTAGGGAGGTGATTAAGGTCACCAATCAAATGCTAAGCCACCGGGTGGAAGAACAAAACAAAATACACATCCACGCACAAAGTCACACACACAACCAGAGACAACAGAAGGAGCATGAAGCTTTGTGATCTGACAAGAGCTGAATTCTACAGATCGATCCAGTGGGGGCAGCAGAGCATCACAGACAAATTAGCACTTTTGATTAAAACTGAGCAGTGTAGTTAAAACTGTCTGCAGCCACAAAGTGAGCTGCAGAAATGAGACTGCAGAAATAGAGGAGGGAAAAGAAAGGCAAGGTGACCTGCTCGCAGTACTGCAGATGTTTTCTTTTTTTCTTTTTGCTGCAATTTCTTAGAAAGCTAAGATTCACAGCATGAAGAGGTAACCCTAAAACAACAAAGAAGACTAATACCTAATTATTAAAAATGTTATGATAATGATGTTGCTTACTAATAAAATGTAACAACAGATATTTTATTATTTGTAGAATTTAGTATTTATTACGCTACTATGTGTGTATTTTCTTCACAGCAATGCCTGCAGTGTATTTTCAGACCACCCAACCCAAGAAGGCAAATTTGAATGAAAGATCTGGACAGGTTTTCTTGCTTGAATTTGCGTTAATCTCTCATCTGTCAATCAAATTAATACACTTTACAAAATTAGCTTAAGTAAACTAAATCTGCTTTTCCTGCAAGCAATAAATTTACCAACACATCTGAATGTGTTGAAAATTAGGAAAACTCAAAGGTTTCACTGTATCCAGTAAAAACAGCATGTGTTTTAGTAAAATAATAATAAAAAAAATGTGCAAGCCATATAAGCTTTGAGGCAAATTGGATCAAGTGGGATGAGAAATGGCAGCAAATGAGTCATTCACTGTGGGGTTTATGTAGTAATTTTCTCTGGAAAAGAAACAAAGCCATTTCATTTCTCTCTGCTTGTCAAACTTTCTGCATCTCATCGCTGCAGGGAATCTCATCTGTGAGCAGCAAGAGGGTCAAACAAGCTTTTGCAATTTACACTCAATCATTGTACCACCTCTTTTATCATGCATAATTTAAAACTGGCCATAATGGGTGAGTTTATTCTGAAAGTTAACAGCAACTTGTTTTTGTGTGCTCTTTTAAGGAAATACTTGATTTTACATTTACTCTGCAAATCTTAGGTGTGTGATTTATCCAGTACAATAATATAGATATTGTACATGTTTTTTAGCAATTCATCTTTTTTTTTCTGCTCAACTTTCTTTATAAGAAATAAAAAAGCAAGAAAATGGTAAAAAGGAACTATATTGTATTGATTGTGCAGAAATGTTTACTACTAATACTTTCATCACAGTACAGCACAACTTACAAGAATCCTTCAATATAGATATTTTTAGCTAAACTAAAGATGACAAACTGCTATTTTCACATCGACGAAGGGAACGAGCACCTAGAATTTTCTTAAGCATTAATGAGCGTCTAGTTTGACTCACCTTGTGTGCTGTGACAGCAAACTGTTCAGCACTGTTCATCATGTCTGCAGTCCTCTCCTCTGCCCGACCTAATCGCTCACCGCGCTCATTCAGAGCCTGGCTGGCCTTCTGTACAGCACTGGTCACACTGTCTGCAGCTGAGTGTAGTATACTGTTACCTGCAGAAAAGGGTAGCAGCAAAGCCATGAAGCAGGGAGACCAACAAGAGGCAGGAAGTGAGGCAAAACAAAGTGGCGGAAAGAGAAAAGAAGGGGGAGAAGAAACTTTGGTTACTTTGACAAAACCTGTGAAATTACAAGCGGTGCAATCAGCACCCCTGACCAATAGTGTTAATGATGCCAGACAAAGTCATCAGGAAACAAAATGGTCTCCAGCTGGTGCAAAGTGGGCAGGTGGCTAATGAGGATTCTTCAGAGCTGATTTAATGAAAGGAAGAACATAATGGGCATTCTAGAGCACCATCTTTGTCACTTCAGCTTTGGATGTAAAGTTTTCCAATGTACACTGCAGGCCATGGCTTAATAATGCCAACAGTGCCACATAATCTGAAAAATATGAGGTTCTCCATGATTTTTCTTTGAGTGCCTCTCCATGAACACAAGAAATAGGATGAATGACAAGTCTAGGCAGTGAACAAGCTCAATAATAACTCAGTAATACCAAAGCACCTGCAACAAAATGCATCAGCAGACCCGATTCATAAACTGGACAACAAAACGAATACAATCGTTGGCTTCTTTTGACAATTTCTAAGGGTGTAAAAGAAGGGTTTTTCACTTCCTTTATTTAATTTTGAACTTCTTCAGCAAAGTATTTATTACTCTATTTTCTAATTTAAAGCATGATAAAGGACAGCTGGCCTCCTGGGCTGCCCTGGAAACCCAATGGTGGATATACGGACAGACCAAAGATAACTTCAGATAACTTTGGCAGTCCTGCGGATGTTTCCTTTGATGAGGCATTCGACTCTTACACGATGGGAGTTCTGTTAGATCCGTACCTAAGGACACCTTGGCAGGTCAGAAAAAACAAAACAAACAAAAGCACCTGAAACGTTTTTAGGTTGTGACCTACACATACATTTGGTGGCTCACAAGAGGATATTTATATAATGGCTGAGTGCATTTGGAAACTGACAACCTGGATTCTATTATTTCTCACATGAAACTCCAATATAGTAAGTGTATGTCCCTTGACAGATATGGTGAGTGACAGATAATTGGGACAGCTCCACTGCTGTCCCAAAAGCAGACGGCGAGGCCACCTGGTCGCCCTTCAGAGTTAGTTACTTTGGTAGAACAAGATCTGCAGACACGGATGGGGTATTTACATTAATGCTCATGTAAAATGAAGACAGACACAAAATAATATCCATTGTTCAATTTTGTAAAAGTAAACTTTCTGTTATAGGCTTTGAGTTATTCATAAGAAGTTGCAGACCTTTTACACTTTTACCACAGATTTTTCTTTATTCCCTTCCTCCTCGTCATCCAGGGGAGCCCAGGGAGTCGTGCTCCCTTCACCCGCTGTAAAACCCCCGCACTCATCTCCTCGCACTAAAAAGAACATCTCCATTTATTTGTCTGCCTACCATTTTCTTTTCTCTGGAGCTTTCCCTGCTCTATTCACAGAAATCGGTGGCAGGCTGTTGCACCGGCTTCCCCAAGTGTACTGTAGAATGTAATTAGAGAAATGCTGGGTGGGTAGACTGTGGAACGGTTTCAGAGGAGGGAAGGGAGTTGGAGCATCGCAACTCAAAATAGATGTGAAGGAGCAGTGTGTGTTATGTGGTGCAGTTCCTGTGATTCAGACCGAATGCTGACATCTCATCTGACAGTGAAATGGGATTAGTTATCAATGCATTTACATAAAATAGTAACAGCTGTAGGATTCCAGAGGCTAAAACTCACAACTGTTTTGTTTTAGGCAAACAATTTTTTTCCCCCATCTGGTCACCTATGTTAAACAAAAAATAATATGTAGAAAGTTGATGTGAAGCTTTTGTAGACCAATGTTTCTCTATCCATGACCCATCTGTCTAAACAATGAGCAGCCCATTTTGTGTCATATTCTAACATTTTTTGGGCAGCAGAGACTCAAGAAATAGACAAGTTGTTTTCGAGGACAAAAAAAACAAAAACAAAACAAAACTCTTCCAGAACCTTTCAACAAAGAGAAACAAAACCAGGAAGTTGGACAGTGGATTCCAAGACAAGAGTCTGAGCTCCTGTGATGCTCAGAAAATGATTTGAGTATCAATGGAAACCTCATACTGACAGCTGAGCCACATTACCTGAGCCATCTATGAGATTATATTGTTAACTCTAAAAACAAACATTGCTACATAAAAAAATAAAATAAAAAATCATGGAAGAATACACACTGCAGTGTATTTCATCCTGGAAGTGAATTGGAACATTAGTAGTGAGATTTTGTAGACTCCAAGATTTTAATCATCTTATACCAGGTATGGAACAGATTATTTAATATCTAGAACTTAAAGTTAGTGTGCTTTCTTGTTTTCATCGCAAAAGCTCATTCTTTTGGGGTTAAAAAAAAAAGGCAAAAGACACCACCACATAATCTTTAGCCTGAACAAAGACGATCATACTTCCTGCTTTGTATGGAATTTTCAGGCTTAGCAAAAACATATTAATGAACATATCCAACCAAAAATGAAGTAAAACGCATTCCTATCTTGAACAGTGATGTAGCGGAGTAAAACGTAGACTATTTCACTAGGAAAACTGCTGTTTTAATCTTCTAAATTGTATAGAGACAAGACAGGGAGAGAGAAAAACAGACATGACAGGAGCCTGTAGGTATACGCTGCTGCAGTAACCTCCTGCAGTTTAATTAATGCAAAGTCTGACAGTACCAACAGCAGCATAATGAAACTGTAGGAAAGGTCCAAACATTGAGGAGAATCTCCCCAAGCTACACCCTGTTCCACTCCAAGTATATTTGATTCCAATTGTTTTTGTGGTGTTTGAAGCTATTCCACTAAGTTAAGTAACATTCTGATCACATTTAAATGTCAGATCAAACAAAATATTAATAATCCACTTCCAGTCATAAATGATGATTTGATTTATTGAGGAAACAAAAAGCTATCAGAAATGACCTTGACCCTTTGTAAAACAAAATAAATTTTAAAAAATCCATTAATGATTGAGAAGAACATGAATGATGTTCGACATGTATAAAAGGTAAAATGCTTAATTTATTTTCAACATTGTTTAGTCTTTTGAGAGACTTGTGTCTCATTTCCTATCTCTTTGAATCTGAGATTTTAATAATCTTCTGCTGAATGATGTGATAATAGGCTAATTAGTTTGTTTAATGATAATGAGCTTTGATAAACAGTCTCTATGGTGCATCTCCAAACAGCAGGTTGATGTAATGACACTATCACACAATAATTTTAAACAGGATAAATGTTTTGAGGATCACAGGAAAAAGGAATGACACAATTTTTGTCATTATTACCCCAACAAAGCATAAATTATAGTCTGAGACAATATAAACAACAGTACAGAAAACAGCATTAGTGAGGATGCAGACTGTAACTGTGCTGTCCTTGGACACCAGATTATGATTTACCTCTGAACAGCCTTTTATTAGCGAGTCTGCACAAAGTCTGACAGTGAAGGGTAAAGACAGAGAGTTTGTGGCTCGTAACCTTTGATTATCAGCATCTCAGTACTTCATGGAAAATGAAAGCTGTCCTTGTACTTACGTGAAGCATTAAGCAAAAACAAATGGATGCAAGTGAACTAATCTCAGAGAACAAATCATAGTGGTTTTTATTTTTTATTTTTTTATTAGATATTTGTGCTTTTTCCCAGTTAGGTTGTCTAACAGCTAATTTCCAAACATTACATTAAAACTCCTGTTTCATATCCTTCTATTTATAGTTGACATTTCAAAAGTTAGTCTATCCAAAATGAACAATGGGGATTCTTCTTTTTTCATATGTGTCAGATTATTTATGAAACCGGGAAGTCAACATATTGTTATTAGTAGATACGTATTTTTGATTTGCAGTGCTTACCTTGTTTTTGAGGAGGACCACGATGTGGCCCTAAGTCTGTCCTCATTCTGTTGAAATAGACCTTGCAGTGGTAAATGACTGTATCTAAGCCTTCTGCGGTGAGAAAACATCAGCCAGAAACAAGTTTGATTTGTATTACAGTTTGTTACTTTTAAATGAGTTCTATTATTATTGTCATTAATTGAAGGGTAAATAACTTAGAAGTTTAGTTCTCCATTAATGCCATGCAAGTACATAAAAATAGTTACGTAGTTAAGAAAAAGCATTCCAACTGATTTAAAAAGATGTTTTGGTGATAAATTGTAAATGTAAGTCCAAGTTAAGTCCAAGTTCTTTACAATAACAACTGAGGTAAAAACAAAAATATTTTTTAATACATATATAAATATAGATCCTGTCAGCACACCAGTCCAAATGTGTTTCTCCTGTATTAGTAGATCCCACTGGAAGAATATTCATCAAATCTTGTCATGGCTATTTGTTTGGTCATGGGGAGATTTCATAGTCTTCATATTCTGTGCTGCATAAATCTGGTATACTGTCGTTTTCACTGTGTGGCACTACTATAAAGCAATTAGATATGTTAGGCTGGTTACCATTGCTCTGGGACAATAAAAATGTCCTTGTTTCCCTGTGAGGATATAAAACCTTTAATGACATCTTTATAGGCTGGATAAAATAGACATCCACAGATCAGTAGAAGTACACAGAGAAACTGGCCACAAAGACACAATTTACAGTATTGTCTCAAATAATGCCATAATATTGACTTTGCTTCTTACATAAATAAGTGAAGGCATCACAACTAGAAAAATATTTTGAATGGTGATCGTTTTTATAAATTAGTTTACAAAAAGAAATTGGAATCAGACCGAATCTGAATCAAGTTAAACTTTGATAAATCAATTCTTCTTTCTTGAATAGTGAAGGAATGTTTTTCTTGCACCAATTAATTTTCATTATTGAATATTCCATTCAATTTAGCTACATTTTATAGCATTTGCGCTATTTCTAAGCTTATAAATGCCTGTAATTCCTCGTGTTTCTGAAGATTGAGCTCATCCACAGTTAGGGTCCCACACCTGAGCAGCGTCATGATTTTTGTTTTGCACTGGTGTGAGACTTAAACTGGAGTAGACAGAACTGGCAGCAGTCTGGGATTCTTCCCATTCTTCTTGTCATTACTTGAGTGATTTATCGACATCTCCTCTATCAGTCATGCTAAACAGATCAAGAGAAAGCAGAGCTGCTAATCTTTGACAGATTAGCAGTCAAAGATTGGATTTACTGTTTGTCGTCTACCAAGAAGCAAGCTTGGTGTACAGATTATTTTTTTAAAATAAGACAATTGTAAATAATATTTTGAAAACGATCATTTTAAAATTTACAACTTTGCTCAACATGTTTCATTAAAAAGGATTAAACAGTATGTTTTTGCTCTTTGGGAAACTGCTACTTCCCCACCTACACATACAGATTTCACACTATGAACTACGGCCATCTGAAAAATGTTAAATATGGACACGGTCATGAATGTAGGAGGGAGGTCAAAGCAATGTAGAGGAAGGTTAGGAAGATATGGCAGCTTTATCATCAATGAATGGATAGTCGGTTCCCACACACACTGACAAACATAAAAAACAGTGAGTCGACGAGTGACGACAGCTTCAACGTCTCGCCTCACTGCATTGCAGTGCATATTAAATAATTTCTTAACAGCAGATGAAATGCCGCAACTCATAACCGACTCCTGTATCGGTGGCGTTTGTAGAAATGTTTTGGACATCCAGTTTTTTTATGAAAAGGGAAAACTGACTGATGTTCTGAGATTGGAATTGAGGATAATCAAATTGATATCTGATTTAAAAAAAAAAAACAGAATTATATTAAAAAGCACTATAATCCCACTAACAGCATGTACAACATGAGTGTAACAATTAACACCAAGATATGCTAAAATGGCTTTAAACATCCATCTTTACTTGCTAAGCAATACTCAAAGGAAACATTATTTTAACTTGTTTCTCTGGTTTCTTTAATTTAGTATCAAATTTTACATTAAGAAGAGGAATGCTGCATCAAAAAAAGGATTAAATTATTATAATATATTGAATGGTAAAAATTAAGTATTAAAGGATGTGTTTGTGCTGTAAAACCACCATAACCTTGAAAAATGCATTTAGTCAAAAATGACCTATTACTTCGGCTTCCTCTTTTGACAAAGTATCAACTGAGCACACAACAGATGCTGTGTATAAGTAATAAGCATACATTTTCATACACACCAGGTGCTGGTTGTCATTGTACATAATAGGATTCTGGCTTACAGCACAGGGTTACATCCATTAATCTGTCACAATACACAGATTCATGGCTTTCTGACTAGATTGTAAAAATTAGTATTTTTACTTTGGAGATATCTTACCACCAAGGAGCTTTGACTGACAGTTGATGAACTCGGGTTTCCGTGCTGAGCAGTAGCGTTGGCAGGTGTGATGAAGAATTTGGATGAAGGTGCACTTCTCTCCTGCTGAACTGGCAACCCACTGATCCAAACCATTGTCAAACACCAGGTCAAATTCTGGACAATCCTTCGAGTGAACAAGTAAACCGTTGTTTATAGGTTATGTTTATGTAAAATGCTCTATTTGCTGGTAGCGTTACGTACTTTGCTGGAGTCGATGCCATTAACCTGCCGTAGTTGATCAATTGTCCACTGTGATCTTTTGACAAAGGCAGACGATCCTTGGAACTGCTTCACTTTAGTGAGGGATACATGGGACGGTTTCTTGTTTGTCACTGTGGAAAACATAATAATTATGTATTAAAGATGCAACAACTAGTAATCAAAAATCTAGAACAATATCCTAATAATATATATATATATATACTTGACAAAATGATACAGCAGAAATTCTACCATTTTAAAAAGTCAGGAGGAAAACTTAAGGGTTATTACTGCAATACCTAAGCTAAAGCTGTGTTGAACTGAGACTTTACAAAAATCTTGTTTGGCACAGTCCAAATTAATCATACAATTTACAGTATCCCATTCTCTCCCAAAACTAAAGTATATACTAAAGGTGGTAAAGTATTTAAACCTTTATTACATCTATCTTGCTTGTTGAGGGTATTATTCTTGTTTTTTTTCCTATGAGTAAGGAAGTGGTAATCGTGAAGTATAGAATGAAAAATATTAAATACATCATTCAGTTTATAGCAAAAAAAAAAAGAAATCATTAATGAACAACTCACTTCAATCTTGCAACAACAACCTGATTTATTAGTCTGATCAAACATCCTGCAGTGAACTTACTTACAGGATTAACTTTCTATACTCCAGCTTTGTACATCATTTCCACACACAGATAATAATTTTATTAATTCAATTCCAATAATTTAAATCCAGCAAGGTCAAGAATGCATAAAAAGTATCGCTCGAGGACCAGACAAGGGCACACCTGCTCTGCTGTACAAAAAAGTCGTTTTTTACAATAACTTGATTGCTATAATTTGGTATGTATTAACCAATTCACCCCAGACCAGGAACAAGACATGTGTAGCTATATTATCTCTGATATAACATGATGGTTTTCTACTTTTTCTCATCACAACATCAAAAGGAAAAAAAAAACATCACGAACAGCTGTCGGATATTATTTATTTTTCCTTTTTTCCTTTAGCTACGACTCAATTCACTCAGGGTGCACTGCACCCATATTGAGGAATGTTTTACAAAGGTAGGGCTGAAAGAAACTCCTACAGCTCAAGAGATGTATGGTTATGTTCAGAGTATCCATTTTGACAGCTGCAGTAAATACTGGAGCTGCAGTGGGTGGACGGAAACAGGCGAACACACCGACAGACAGAATTATAGAAGCAATCACTCATTGCCTCCTCATTCAAACAGTTGCAGTGAAGACAGAGAAATGAAGTCAACAATCAGTGATCCTGGCAGAGGTGACACTGATGACTAATAGCTTTAAGAATGAGAAGATTTTATAAAGAGGTTCACAGTGGAGTGCAATCAACCACTGAGTTGAAGGACAGAAGATCATCTACTGCCTATAACCTTCCACTGGAATAATAATATGTCTCCAAGAAACAAAAAAATAATCCATGACAAGCTTTATTCTACATTCTTCAGTCAAACTGATAAAACAGAAATTGCGATAAGGTTTTATTTCATAAGTGACAAACTGATAGCTGAAATTTATCAAGTAAAATTTGATATGAACAAGAAATGACTAGATTTTATCAAAGGTATAACAATTTTATATTCTGATAAAGGGGAGGGGCAAAAGTACAGAATATGACCCCCATAGTAATTGGATGCTGATTTTCACTATTGTCTTGTCTCGGCAGTGATAATTTTTAGCAGCAGATTTGATTGACGTCCTGGACCAAGGGCATTTTTAAACCTCTCAAAACAAACAGAATTAATCCAAATATGAGTAAAATTGTGTCAACCATACTTAAAAATGTGCGACTCAAACCAATCTGTGTCATTTTTAAGCAAATCACAATCACTCAAACTACTTTGTGGCTTTTAGTCTTTGTTCAACAAGTTATGACATTCTACAAGGCATCAGTGGATCTGTGTTAAACTGTTGACACATCATCACAAATGAAGCTGCCAGACACCTCTGAGGCTCTCAAATCAATTTCATATTCAGCTGTTCACTACCTTCTTGTCAGGGTATCTCCCTTGAATATTAACACAATTACTGAAAGTTCTAAGGCTTTATTGAAATAGCAATCAAGCAAGAAGAAAACATTCAGCCAAGCTCTACAAAAATGTAACTTCCAAGTTGCTCTGATGACAAATTGAGATAAATTAATGCTGTTGGTGTGAAAGAAATTCTACAAACAATATTACACTAGGAAATTTCTGAATAAATGTAAACAGGGCCTGCCAAAGTGTGCCTGATGGCTGGAACCCAGCGTTCTGATGCTAAAAATTAGCGTAAATGTGAAACCTAAGATCATATATACACACATATATAGAGGCCTTTTTTTTCCCATTGGTGGTAAATATATTATAAAACATATATTCTTGTCTGCAATAAGTGCTCACACTGATATCTAGTTATTGGTGAATAACTAGACATAAATTAAATGAATTAAGTTCACTTAATTCACAATACATTGATGCTGCTTTTCTGTTCATATTGATGGTTTAATCTTTTTCAATCAACAATGCCAGCATCAAGTCTGCTGTGGGCTTTTTTGCCAATTTGAAAATTTGATTGAAATACATTTACAATTTGTTAAAAACCAGATTATTTTCATCCCGATGCATAAATTACTGGATTTGAAAATGGGAGTACTTCATTTTAGCGTGGCTGCATGCTTCTCTTTTAAAACTTGACTAAAACCCAAATTTACAATGATGCACCTGTTATTGATTTATGACAATGACATATGAGTAAAGGGTCAAGTATAAACAGAACGAAAAAGAAGGAAAACTGAAACTCAAAATGACTGAAAGGCAACCAAACATATTGTTCCTATGTGGTCTGGCTGTCCAAGAAAGGCTATGTTGGTGTTCCTTTCTTACCCCTTCTCATACTCTCATGGTGACACATACTCAAATCCTGCACTGAATTATCTCTTGTTGTTCTTTACTGTTTTCAGCTGCAGCTGAAAGGGAAACACGTACAGTGTCCTTTACAGACTGCAGACATCATGGAGGAAACATTCTCTGGATCAGCTGACGCTCAAGGAATTGTTATCACAGTCGTGGTTGTTAAGAGAGAATTCTTAGACATCAGAGGAAATTGACACCAGGAAGACAAATTCTGCTTTAAGGGCCACCTATGTGGGAAATAATTAAAAAGACCCTTATGTTTGCATAGTACCACCAATCAGACGCACAGAGAAATCCGCTTGTAAACAGAATCAGCAGATTTTATACTTGACAAATCCTAATTTATATCTCCGATCAGTGAGCACACAATGCATAAGTGTTTCTGGATTTCTCTGATAACACTCTTAGGTATTGAAGTTGGGAGAGAGTGAAGAAGATTGAGATATTTTTAGTATCAGTGTGGTGTTTCAAATGAATCTTTAGGAAAAAAACAGTTGTAAGAATCTACTGGTAAAAAAAAAATAAATGCTGTGACATGTCAACTATTCTTTCAGGTGACCAAAGTGGTGGGTTTGACATCAGCAAATAACAGAAAGCTAAATGTCATACAGATATCTTGTTATTTTAGTTATATCTTGTTAATTTCCAATCATCTGATAGGAAAAGATTGATGCTGCAATGCCATTTCAGAATTTTCCAGAAATTTTTGATAAAGATAAATAATTTTAGACATGCAATTTTAATAAAAAGTAAATAAAAATGAGATGCCTTTGTCTCATAATCATAAAGCATGGTTATGAGATATACCATAATCATACTGCTTCTGATTGATTGCTTGGCCAAGACTCATCTAAGAAGGTAAAATTCAAAAGTTAATTGAAGGCCTCTTCAAATTACGCAAAAGTCACAAACATTGTTCTGTGTCATCTTGTCATTTGTGGTTAAAGGTCAAGAATACCTTGTTAGAAAAGATTAAACTATTTTCTGAAAGCAACCCCTACTGCAGGAAGATGTCTTCAGGATCACTTTCAAAAAAAAGAAGAAAAAAGAAAGAAAGTCAAGCCACTTCCTGTAACAGCAGATCTGTTCTTCACTCTATCATTGAATAAATGCAGTCGCGATGGTAATCTCATTTGAGTGGGACAAAGACACACACAGAGAAGCAGACGGTTGTGAAAGGACAATAAGTTATAAGGGCCAAGGCCAAGTTTGATGCATTAAAATCCATTTACATATCATTATGGGAGGAGAAGGAACTAATGGAAGCTAAGTGCTCCACAGCTAAGAAATGTTCTTGGCTTGACGAGAAGACCTCGTCTCATTATGAAATATAAATGTTATCAAGGGATCTATTACAAATCCATTATCGTGCTTGTGCACCAAATAAATCTGAAAACAATTTTTTGAATTTGCTCAAGATGGTATCATTTTCCAAAGGCTGAGAAACATTTATCTTCAGAGAAAAGGTCGGCGATGCAACAAACCACAGTACATGCTAGGCTAGCAATCAGCACTCTGAAACAAACGTCTTTGTAGTCCATTCATGGGATGGAAAACACTGAAACTGTTGTGTCTGTGGAGTTTGGTAGGCAGGATGGTTACCATGCAGTGGCCAGGCACCAATTGAATAATGGAGGACATTTGTCACTGCAAACAACAACCACAGGACAGATCCCAGAAAAGAAACGCCAGTGACCGATTATAGATGGGCCAAGAAATTGACTGGTGAACAAAGAAAATAATCCAAATGTGGCCACCCTTGACTCTTCAGGCAGACATTAGCACCAAGGAGAAAAAATTCAGTTTTCCATTTGAAGTCTTTCAAATAAACAATTGTAGTGAGAGGAAGTTCAGAGACTGAGGACAATATTTTAAAAAAAACATATGTACCAATATACCAATATATTTAAGCTAAAAGTTTCCCAGTTATAGTTTTGTATGTCAGTAAATGCTCACTAAAGTGTCAGGATTAGATGACAGAGAACTGGATGCCATGTTTGTTGAGTCTTTCATTAGGAGTCTTTAAAATACCGTTTAAAAATGATCTTTTGACTGAAACTATGTTGTATTTTATTATGTAAAAATAATCACATTATTAAATGTGGTTACAGTGCTCCATTCACAAGTTTTTTTTAATTTATTTATTGTTTTTATTTTTGTACAGAGATTTTGTAATTCTCTTATGATGAGGGAAACGGGCAATGTTTTG